CGCTACTAGAAACAAGTGCCTTACTAGTAGTAACAAGAAGCTAGTAGAAACAAGTGCCTTACTACTAGGAGCAAGAAGCTACTAGGGGCTCCTGGCCTTACTAGTAGTAACAAGAAGAATTTAAATAGGGCCAAGTGCAGCCATGTCACATCCGCACGCAGTGCCCAGCGAAGCTGCAATGAGCATTGAGCCGCATCTGGGCGATGGAGACAGATGATAGGTCGGATCGGTCTGATCGGGAGCAATGAATCAACCGTCTAAAAATAGGTCTCTTGAGAGATCGAGTTTCTTTATCCCAAACATAGGTTGATTCTTCTAAGCCCACCAGGCACAAACTTGTGACTTTCTGCGTGACAATCAAGGAGACACTTTGAAAGGGAAGGTCTGCAGACTAATCTGACCCATCCAGAAGTAATGTTCACCTCACCTGTACTTGAAAGATCACTCGGAATATCGTAAACTCAACTTTTGGGTCCACGACTCAGCCGCATGAACATGCTTTATGTCTGGCCATGCCCTGCCTCAGGCCCGTCCCGGAAGAAGGGACCTCAGCGAGGGTTCAAGCAACACGCCTCATGCTCATGTAACAAGCTATCATTGTAACATCCAACTCTACATGCACTTGTTCCTAGTAGCTTCTTGTTACTACTAGTAAGGCACTTGTTCCTAATAGCTTATTGTTACTAGCAAACATCCAACTCATGCGACACGTTTTCGTGTCACGGGGCTCATGGATCGGAAAGCGTAAGTATCTCAGCATTGGTGGTTGGCTTCTCTGAGATGTCTCAGAGGTTCTCTGAGATCTTGTGATGTCGCAGTTCGTGGTTTCTTTCATCTGAAGAAATGCAGACGAAACGGAGACTTGGAGATGCTGCCTTGCTAGTGCTCCTTTCTTCATTTTACACGTTGCGTTGCCGCAACGCTGAGTCTTTCTGCAGCATGCGCAGAACCGTTCTGCATCGAAAGCAAAAGTGTTTTTAGCTCTGGGCAGTTGAGCCAAGTTCTGCATAGTTCACTAGCTTGAAAGTAGTGGTGCCGGTGTCTCTTCGATGCATCTAACGCAGTGAACACAACTTCGGGGTTCAATGCGTCGACCTTCTATGACTGGGCTGGGCAATTGCCTGAGTTGTCAAGTCTCATCTGTCATATCTGTTAACAGGTCCACAGCGAGCATGCACGAATAGGTAACAATCAGACGATTTGGGCAGGTGAACATTGCATGATATCACTTCACAACTCAGCTATAGAAAAGCTCAACCCAACTCCAGCTCTGTGCAGCTCATTTGGCTGCTCACAGGTCCCAAAAAGACCCAGGACTTCTTCTGCTTTAGGGTAACCAACGGCCAGCGCAGCAAGGTGGGCCACAGGGAAGTTGTCTCAGTCCTCTGTTTGACCTGCACCAAGGAAGAATGGAAGTTCTGCAAACACAAGCGATGGCCTCCAATCCTGTGCTGCTTGAAGTGACTTCTAAATTATTCTGTGTCGCTTCTTAGAAGCTTTACTTAAAGCCATGGGCAAGCTCCGCTTTTTGACCTTCAGCATCAATCCGCCACTGAGCACAACAGAAACGTTTGTGGTGCTGCACAAGCCCAAGCCCAAATGGAGTTGGGCCATCCCCAAAGTCAAGAAGTATCCGTCCGTAAAAAGGAGAGCAACAATTCTTAAGTAAAGAAAGGACTGGTGGTTCAGCACAAAAAACATTTCAAACATCCACAGCTCATTTTGTAAATACGACTAGGAACAAGAAGCTACTAGGGGCTCCTGGCATCGCTACTAGGAGCAATGTTCGTTACTAGGAGCAAAGGGCATCGCTACGAACGGAGCTAGTGCGGACGCTATTTTTGTTCTTCATTCAGTGCCATCTTCGCTCCTGCTCCGACCCCACCGCCTCATAGCCGCAGAGAGACTGAGATCTGCACCTGGCCGCCAGTGGTCGTGCAACAAGCAGTTGTTAGTGGAAGTGAAAGCTCCCGTAACAACAGTGCTGCTGCTAACAGCTTTGCGACCCAGTGAATTAGATGGAATTTAATGAAATGAGTTCAACCACCATGCCAAGAACAAGCTGTTGACCGTAGCCATGCTTAGTTTCAACATGTTGAAGGTCAGGACTGATACATTGATCACCTTTGTTCTTGGGTGGAGGCATCTTGATCACCTTGGTTCTTGGATGATCTTGGACCAACCATTGATTACCAACAAGAGTGGCTCTTCCGCCTGCAGGAACACAGTCTCCTCGTACTCCTCGCTGCGCCCCAACTTCATGGTCTTCTGCATAAGAAGCATGTCGACCTCTTCAAGGCCACACAGGAGTTGGAGGTCAAGACCGCCACATCAAATGTGGAGGCCAAAACGCAAGGTCTGCTGCAAGCATTGTCCATGAATCATGAGCACTTTGGATCAAAAGTGCTCATAATCGCTGTTTTTTCTGCCTGCTTTGAATCCACAAAACCCTTTTCAGTACCATTCGGGTTTTGCTGGAAAGAAAAACTTGATTCACCCAATCGATCTCTCTATTTCAACACTCCGATTTCCGAGCAGCCAGAGTAGGCAGAATGAGTCCAGTGCCCAAAACCCGGTGTCTAAAACCAAACGAGACCTCAAACCCAAAAAAATTGTGGAACTTGCCACGCTACATGTGTCAAACTTGTTCAAACTTGTGGAACTTGCCGACCAACAAGCTCAGAGTAGACAACAGGTAAAACAAAAGGCAATGTGTTTGTTGCTTGGGTTGGACTCAGTCCAACATTCACACGAACGCTGTTGGCATTGGTTTTGGCTTTAGACCTTACTCCTAGTAGCACGACCAGAAGAAACATCGCCTTCTTGAAACAATACAAGGAGTAGCGATGCATAGTTAAGAACCACCTAGTAGCGTCCTTGTTACTAGTAAGGCCAGGAGCTACTAGTAGCGTCCTTGCTCCTAATAGCGATGCCCTTTGTTGCTAGCGAACAGCGTTTTTTCAGGCCCAAAACCCTTCCAGCCTCTTGAGGCAATTGGCCCTTCTGCCCTCGCAATTCTGCAGGGTCCACGGAATTTCGGTGGCTGTTCGCCAGGCTAAAGCCAACCTGCAAATCGCTTCTGCAAAACACTTCACTAGGTTGGAGGCCATCACTATTGGGTCAGAGGCCATCGCTCTTAGGTTGGAGACCATCGCTCTTAGACTTCACTTGCTCCACTCGTTGACTGCGTCTTCGCAATCGGCTTCGAGTCTCCGCTTTCAGGCCTTTTTCTTTTCCCAGTCGTAGACGGTGTAGTAACGATGTAGCACAGGCTCTCCAAGGATGAAGAGTTTGGGACCTAACGGTTCCGGCAACTTCACCTGAGAACACGGAAGGGAAAAAGATGAGTTGAAGAAGACACTGATTGGAAGCTGGGAAAATGACTGGGTAGTACACGGAGTGAAACGTTTTGGACAATGTCAACTGTTGCCCCAAAACGGCTTACCTAAGGGTCATTTAGGTGGAAATTCAAAGCAAACAGCATTTAGGTCATTTTGGGCGACACTTTCCTTGTTGAATCCCACATGCATTGCGAAGGAAAGCACATGAGTTTCAGGTGCTTGTAATCAGCGCCATTGGCGACACTGAAACTGTCCCTAAAGGATCGGAATGGAGTTGTACAGATGTTGCATCTTTTTCTATTGACGTTCTTTTAGACATTCTTTTTGATTGTTCTTTTGACTTTCGACATCTTTTCCTTTTCTTGAGACATGCGTTTTTGCTCTTATTATTTACTTACTATAGACACGTTCATTTCTCTGTAATGTTCCCTTTTTTTTAATGGTGAATCGGAATGGAGTTGTAGAAATGTCGCACCGTTTTTTCACATCTGCACGGACCGGATGATTCGTCGATTCGGATTCCCAGTCACTGACATGAGACGCGGACTACATCGTCGGCTCACCGCTTCTGTGTCATTCCTCAGCTTGTGGGGGGGGAGTGAATGATTGGGCGTCCAACAATCTATCCCCTTTCTACAAGCTTGTTCAGGAAGCACAAGGAAGCCGAGTAAGCTATTGAGAAAGCCAAACTAGCCACTCACTTGCCGCTTTGGCAATACAAGAAAGTCGAGAAGGAACCTCCTAAGTTTGGATTCCAGCACTTTACACCAAGGCACATGACTTCAGACTGTCCTGCCAGGTGGGGCGCCAGCCAGGGTGCGGAAGTGTTTATGAGAAGGAAGACACACGTGGAGGAAAGCACGTTCCAAGGTCCCAAAAGACAACGACAAATTGATCAAGATGAAAGAACGAAAGGCGGAATGAAGACTTCGAAAGCTTTCCTGCTTTGGGTCAAGTCCGCGAAAAGTGCTTTCAAGTCTCTGACTTTGGAAAGATCTAATCCTGTAGTATCAACAAAAACAGGAGGGCTTCATTCGGCTTTTTGTTGCTCCTCCCGAGGACCAACACTCTATGACTGCTAGTACAACTCCAAGCTGACAACATGTGCAACAAAAGACGCTACGAACGGAGCAAAGGGCATTGCTACTAGGAGCAAGGACGCTACGAACGAGCTCCTGGCATCGCTACTACGGGCTCCTGGCCTTACTACTAGGAGCAAGAACGCTGCATCTAAATTCTGCTGGGTTGCACCCCAAGGACCGCTTCGACAAGTGTGGAATCCAACATCACAGATGCAAACCAATTGACTGTAGTAATTGCAGCATAGATACTGAAAGAAACAAAGGAAGAACACCTAAAAGTCTAAACAAGAAATCACAAAAAACGAAAGACAGAAAGAACGAAACCAAATAGCGATGGCCTCCAACCGAAGAGCGGACAAGAAAGACAGAATGGTCCCAAGGGCTAAAGAAAAAAGCCCAAAGAGGACCTTTGTAAACAACACACACGCCTTGCTACCAACAGGCCTTAGTTAGGTCGCTTAGGAGTTGGGAAACCCACCATCCCTAATTCGACTAGAACTTCACTATTGTTCTTTCTCCTTACTTCTTCCTTTCCTTCTCTTCCTTTTTCTTTGGACCCTTCTTTTTGATCTTGCAGTGGACTTCTGAGTGGATGACGGCGTTCTACCCAATGTTTGCCAAAGCACCTCTCCCCATTTTCACCCCACCTGCGTTGCTGACTGGCGCGATCTCACTTTTCGCGCGAACGCCTGCGCTGCGGCGCTGCAAAGCATTCTATCCACCCATAACCAGCATCGCCACTTTTTTTTGACCATTTCGTTGAACAGCAAGGTTGGATCAAATGTCACGGACCACTGGGTAAGTAAGAATTCAACCAATCTAACAACACACCAGACATGCATAGGCAGTGAAAAGGCCTTTGCACCTTTTGGTCACCTGCTTGGCACAAATCCACACGAAAATCACACATGAACTGCCTGCTTATCTGGTACAGGAAGTCTTCATATAATATGCAAAACCCATCACTTGTGAAAATTTCCTTTGTGGAACCGGTTCCATTTATATAGATCAACTCGGTTCTTTCCCCTTTGGACTCTTCGAGTCCTTCGTTGGAGCCCACGGTGATGCCATCGCGCAAGGGTAAGCGCCGCATGTAGTTGAAGGGATACAAGGTGATGATCTACGCAGCACAGAAGGGAAAACGAACAGGTCTCGATCTTTTCAAGAAATCATAGGATAAGAAACATGTTCGATATAAATTCACACAATTCTATTTTTGATCTGACAATAAAAGACTAGGCCGAGAAAAGAGCTGCCTCAAGTAGCTAACATGCAAGGCGTAAGTAAGGTAGTAGTTTAAGGGAGCATGTTTCCTTGAAGATGCCCTCACATGATTGATTTGCTTCCTTTGGGGAAACTTCAGCTTCAAAAATAAGTCAATTGCATTTGTGCCACTGCCATGTTAACATGCTCCTAATGTTTCCACTCTGAGCATCTTGGCCTTGCCCTCCCACAGCTCAATCTCCAGTGTGGGCGCATCAGCGTTGCGGCAATCCAAGAGCTCCCCAGCATTGGTTTGCAATCGCTTTTCGAACTCCTCTGGAAAAGAACAGGAAGGCAGGGATGGCAAAGGGCCATGGCAAAGGGCCATGGCAAAGGGCCTGTGAAGCATGGGTGAATTGTATCGACCCCCCAGAATCTGTTGAACCTATTGAACCTGTTGCCTGTTGGTTCATCCAGCTACAAGAATGTTGGCAATGCCTGTTCATCTGAAGTCTCCAGGGCACGATATCAACTTGCTGCTTGCTGCAGTTTGTCTTGATTTCGTGAAAGTTCTTCTCATTGAGTCCTTGACCTCTTTCAGTACACTTGGCACAAATAAATCATCGGCACCTTACTGTACACGTCTCAGAGAACGGGTACACTTATCTGCAACTACTCCGCCGAAGGAGCATCCTAGTGGCCACGGCAGTTTTCTTTCTTTTCTCGGATTTACCAACCTAATAGCAATGGCCTCCAACCTAAGAGCGATGGCCTCCAACCTAATAGCTTCTAGTTACTAGAAAGCTTCAAAGACATGCTAGTAGTCATCAAAGACATACTAGGAAGCTTTATTGTTACTAGTAGCGATGGCCTCATGAAAGCTTAGCTCAAGTGCACTTAACCACTGTGCCCTCTTCTCTCCCTCTTCTCTCTCCCTCTCTTCTCCTTGTCGTAGGGCGAGGGTACGCCCAAGTGCGAGGTGCCTGTGTCCAAGACTCCACGGCACGTGCCATCCGCGCAGGCCTCAACCCTCAGCGACGACCGCGATCACCTACTTGAAATCTCACCATCCGTTCTTGTTTCTAATAGCTACTTGCTCCTGGTAGTAAGGCCAGGAGCCCCTAGTAGCGTCCTTGCTCCTAGTAGTGATGCCAGGAGCCCCTTGTAGCTTCTTGTTCCTAATGCATCAAATGTTTTGCAATGATTCTAACATCAAATCTCCTTAGTATCGTTAGAATCGCTGCAAACACAGGATCAGAACATGTTTTTGAAACCAAAGCAACGTGTCCAACGTGTCCGACGTGTCCAAAGACATGTAGGTTATGGTGTAGGTTGCTGAGGAACGCTCTCCATGTTCAGCACAGCACAAGTTCACATGCAACGAGCAAAATGAGCAAGATAGATTTTGTGAATTCAACCAGCATCTTTTGTGGTCACCTGAAAGCATACCTGGAGCCGTGTGAAGCGTCAAGACACACTTCTCCAGCAATGCGAATGGCTCGAATACCAACTTGCCAGTAGCCAAGCTCCTGGTGTGTCGATTGTCAAGTCACTCTTCGTGAGGCTCCATGTGTTGTGTTTGTTAAAGCAACTGCTCACATTGTCCATGATTCTCCCATTTGCACAAGTAATTTGCACAGATTGCAAGTAAGGAGACGCTGGACATGGCTCCACCACCTTTCCTATTTTGGTTGAGCTTTGCCCATCAGATACAGCATGGACGTCTTACAATGAGGCCATCGCCAATAGGTTGGAGGCCATTGCTACTAGGAACAAGGCCGCTACTAGTAGGTAGTTCCTGGCCTTACTACTAGGAGCAAGAAGCTACTAGGAGCAATGGGCATTGCTACGAACGGAACGATCGGATGCTACGAAAGTAGCCTCGGTGTTTGGTCCTCCATGGCCACGTGAGACCAACTGATGGGCTCCAGCACTCCTTAGGGACACGTTCGACCTGTCAGATCACGATGGATCGCTGGTACAACATATCAATAATGTTGTTTTTTTTGTTCTACGTTTGATTCTATTTCTTGTTTCTAACAAACATTGTTCCTAGTAGTACGGCCAGGAGCCCCTAGTAGCGTCCTGTATCTCTATGGTACCAGAAAAAGTTGGTTCTAAGTGGGGTTCAGTTACGACATGGTTCTAGAAGACATCGTTCCTAGTTGGTCGCGGGTTGGTATGAGTAATTATGTATCAGCATGGAGAGAATCCCTGACCACTTGACTGTGGTATATCTTTCTCTTCCGGTGGTCTTTCGGGGGGCCTCCCTGTTTCACTACACACCCGTAGACTCATACTGTGCTTATTGACAGCTCTGATTGGATCGATGTTGACCCTGCAAACATCTTAAGCCATGCCATCTGTTAACATCTGATAACTAGCTTTAACCAAAGTACCATGGGTCCATTCGACTCATCAACACTTGGAAGGAGGAAAAGGCTCCAAATCATTAGTTTCCGAAAAGATCTAGGAACCAAATCATTAGTGCAAGGAAGCTCCTCCCGCCCTGAGGTGGGG